AGAGCTTTGGGCGACAGGGACGCGGCCCGCCAGCGGCTGCTGGTCGCCGTGCGTGATGGGGGACGCCCGCCCTTATCTGCCACCGCCACGCTGCTCCTGGTCTTTGCTGACAGCCTGCAAGAAGCGCTGCCAGACCTCAACGACCACCCCACGCCCTCTGACCCCCAGGCTGAGCTGCAGTTTTATCTGGTGGTGGCCTTGGCCTTGATCTCCGTGCTTTTCCTCCTCGCGGTGATTCTAGCCATTGCTCTGCGCCTGCGAAGCTCTTACAACCCCGCCACTGGGGGCTGCTTTGGGTCTGTTCTCTGCTCCAAGTCTGGACCAGAGATTCCCCCCAACTACAGTGAGGGAACTTTGCCTTATGCCTATAATCTGTGTGTGCCTGGGGATCAAACTAACCCGGAATTAAATTTTCTCACATCTGCCGATCATTGTCCAGCTAAACAAGATACTCTCAACAAAGAAAGCTCGTTAGCGCTATTGGCTGGCATACTAACCCCTAGTGTTGAAGCAAATAAGAAGACTTTTAAACAGGTAAGTAGTTAAAATAATGCTTTTTATATTCCAATATGCCAGTATATATCAATATAGTGCTTTTATTTCAAGATCCTATGTTCAATCTCTTGCTAGAGTTTCTAAAATAAATCCTTGGTCAGACCTATGAGTATCACTGTTAAGACTCAAGTTTACAATGCTGCGATCCTTCTAATATTCAAATGCATTTTAAGGTAGGTATACAGAGAAATCTCATGAAATTTTCATGAAATAGAATCCCTTTTAATTAAGGATATGGAATACAGGTAGATTTTATATAATGGTATTTTAAATAACCCTAATGCCATCCAAATCTTCTCAAATGTTTCATCTTTATTTTTCTCAATAAAGAACCATTAGTGCCGAAACCGGTTTGGCTCAGTGGATAGAGCGTCGGCCTGCGGACTGAAAGGTCCCAGGTTCGATTCTGGTCAAGGGCATGTACCTGGGTTGCGGGCACATCCCCAGTAGGAGATGTGCAAGAGCCAGTTGATCGATGTTTCTCTCTCATCGATGTTTCTAACTCTCTATCTCTCTCCCTTCCTCTCTGTAAAAAATCAATAAAATATATATATATTTTAAAAAACCATTAGTAAGAAGTATCGCCATGCATCCTATCTGATGATTTTGTCAGGACCGTGCTAGTTCCACATCAACAAATGCTATTCTCTTCAGTTGGTAAAAATTAATAGGGACCAAATCTAACCTGCAAGTGTTCAGTTCCAGTAATATTTGAAAACTTTTTAAAATTTTAAAACAATTAAAAATTGTTAAAATTAAATTGTTAAAATTTAAAAAATTTAAAAATTAATCTTTCCAAAAGTGCTCTTGGTTAACTCGTAAATCACATCATATAACTGTTGTCTGAAATTTAAGCTTTACATATGCAGTAGGAATGATTCTGGGAAAGGTGAGTGTATTTATTATAGAACAGGCACATTTGTTGGATTTTCTTACTCGTTGCAATAATAAGTTTGGGCTCTAGGCGCCGCTGTTCACCAACCAGGGAATGGGAAGTTGCAAGCTACAGAGTCACTCCCTCCCCTACCTCTATAACACAAAGCGGAGAGAGATGGATACTCACAGATCCTGATGCTGGAAACTTAAAGTACGGACTTTCCTTCGCTCTCCGATATATTTGGATGCAGTCGGCCCGGGACTTTGTAGATACATAGGCTGAGTCAGGACAAACCGGCTCAAGAAACCTCGGAATATCGGCTCAGTCACTGCCATGGCGAATCAGCTATTACGCCTGGACCGCAGCGGGCTGGTGCTACTGTACATTTTCCTGGGGACGCTGCGGGAGTTTGGGGCCGGACAGATCCGATACTCGGTGCCAGAGGAGACAGACAAAGGCTTCTTCGTGGGCAATATTTCCAAGGACCTGGGGCTGGAGCCCTGGGAGCTGGCGGAGCGCCGCGTCCGCATCGTCTCCAGAGGTAGGACGCAGCTTTTCGCTCTGCATCCGCGAAGTGGCAGCTTGGTCACCGCAGGTAGGATAGATCGGGAGGAGCTCTGTGAGACGGCGTCCTCCTGTTTTTTAAATATGGAGATACTTGTGGAAGATACCCTGAAGATTTACGGAGTGGAAGTGGAGATAATGGATATTAATGATAACGCCCCCAGTTTCGAGGAGGAGGAAGTAGAGATAAAAGTCAATGAACACGCAACTCCGGGATCGCGATTTCCCCTTCCTAACGCCAGGGATCCAGATGTAGGAATGAACTCCCTTCAGCGCTACCAGCTCAACCCTAATAGCTACTTTTCCTTACAAGTTGGAGGCATAACTGATGGAGCCAAGAATCCAGAGCTAGTGCTGGAGGGGACCCTGGACCGGGAGAAAGAGGCTGCCCACCACCTCCTCCTCACAGCCTTAGATGGAGGAGACCCCATCCGCCGGGGCACTGTTCCCATTCGTGTGGTGGTCCTCGATGTCAATGACCACACCCCAAAGTTTACACAGTCTGTGTATCGAGTGAGTGTTCCTGAGAACCTCAGCTCTGGATCTCGGGTGCTCGTGGTAAACGCAACTGATCCAGATGAGGGAGTCAACGGGGAAGTGGTGTATTCGTTCCGGGACATGGAAAGCAAAGCTTCTGAAATATTCCAGTTGGATTCTCGAACTGGAGAAGTCTCAATACAGGGGCCTCTGGATTTTGAGAAATACAGGTTCTATGAGATGGAGATTCAAGGCCAAGATGGTGGAGGTCTCTGGACCACTGCTAAGATGTTGATCACAGTTGTGGATGTGAATGATAATGCTCCAGAAATAACTGTCACGTCTTCTACTGACTCAGTGCTGGAAAACTCTCCTCCGGGTACAGTAATTGCTCTTCTAAACGTGCAAGATCAAGACTCTGGAGAAAATGGTCAAGTTTCTTGTTTCATTCCTAACGATCTGCCTTTTAATTTAGAAAAGACTTATGGAAATTATTACAAGTTGGTAACAAACAGAGCACTGGACAGAGAGCAGGTCCAGAGCTACAATATAACATTGACAGCTACAGATCATGGAAGTCCACCCTTGTCTACAAAAACTCATATTTCATTGAATGTAGCAGATGACAACGATAACCCACCCACTTTTGCTCACTCCTCTTATTCCGCCTATATTCCTGAAAACAACCCCAGGGGAGCCTCCTTCTTCTCAGTGACTGCACTTGACTTGGACAGCAAAGAAAATGCCCGGGTCACTTACTCCCTAGTCCAGGACACCATCCAGGGAGCTCCCCTGTCCTCCTACATCTCTATCAACTCAGACACTGGCATCCTGTATGCACTGTGCTCCTTCGATTATGAGCAGTTCAGAGACCTGCAGCTACAAGTGATGGCACAGGACAGTGGGGACCCTCCACTCAGCAGCAACGTGTCCCTGAGCATATTTGTGCTGGACCAGAACGACAACGTACCAGAGATCCTGTACCCTGCACTCCCCACTGATGGCTCCACTGGTGTGGAGCTGGCACCCCGCTCTGCAGAGCCTGGCTACCTGGTGACCAAGGTGGTGGCAGTGGACAGAGACTCAGGCCAGAATGCCTGGCTGTCCTATCGCCTGCTCAAGGCCAGTGAGCCAGGGCTCTTCACAGTGGGGCTGCACACAGGAGAGGTGCGAACGGCAAGGGACCTGCTGGACAGAGACGCACTCAAGCAGAGCCTGGTGGTGGCGGTTCAAGACCATGGTCAACCTCCTCTCTCTGCCACCGTGACACTCACTGTGGCTATAGCCGACAGTATCCCAGAGGTCCTGGCAGACCTGGGCAGCCTTGAGTCTCCCACCAACCCTGACGATTCAGGCCTCACCTTGTACCTGGTGATGGCGGTGGCGGTGGTCTCCTGCGTCTTTCTTGCTTTTGTCATCGTTCTGCTGGCGCTCAGGCTGAGGCGCTGGCACACATCGCGCTTGCTCCAGGCTTCTGGAGGCGGGTTTGCAGGCGTGCCTGCTTCCCACTTTGTGGGTGTGGACGGGGTGCAGGCTTTCCTGCAGACCTATTCGCACGAGGTCTCTCTCACTGCAGACTCTGGGAAGAGTCACCTGATCTTCCCACAACCCAACTATGCGGACACGCTCATCAGCCAGGAGAGCTGTGGGAAAAGCGAGCCTCTCTTGATAGTTGAAGATTCAGTTACCAGTATAGGCAAAAGTAATCCTACAAGTAATCAGGTGAGATTTTTTTCCTGCCTTCCAATTATTAGTGTCTCTGCACAAGTCTGTTAAGTGGCTCTTTTGGTAAGCCTATTATGAAAACTGTTGCGGGGGGGCATATTCAGTTCATACAGACTTCAAGCAATACATGTGCGTTTGTGTATTTTACCTTTATTCAAACTACCACCATTTTTCAAAAAGGTTTTCTGAAAGTCATTTTTTTAGTTTGGTATATTTTCTTTTGAGTCCAAGGGTCCAGTGTTGCTATTACGGCTGGACCCTCCACTCAGCAGCAACGTGTCCCTGAGCATATTTGTGCTGGACCAGAACGACAACGTACCAGAGATCCTGTACCCTGCACTCCCCACTGATGGCTCCACTGGTGTGGAGCTGGCACCCCGCTCTGCAGAGCCTGGCTACCTGGTGACCAAGGTGGTGGCAGTGGACAGAGACTCAGGCCAGAACGCCTGGCTGTCCTATCGCCTGCTCAAGGCCAGTGAGCCAGGGCTCTTCACAGTGGGGCTGCACACAGGAGAGGTGCGAACGGCAAGGGCCCTGCTGGACAGAGACGCACTCAAGCAGAGCCTGGTGGTGGCGGTTCAAGACCATGGTCAACCTCCTCTCTCTGCCACCGTGACACTCACTGTGGCTATAGCCGACAGTATCCCAGAGGTCCTGGCAGACCTGGGCAGCCTTGAGTCTCCCACCAACCCTGACGATTCAGGCCTCACCTTGTACCTGGTGATGGCGGTGGCGGTGGTCTCCTGCGTCTTTCTTGCTTTTGTCATCGTTCTGCTGGCGCTCAGGCTGAGGCGCTGGCACACATCGCGCTTGCTCCAGGCTTCTGGAGGCGGGTTTGCAGGCGTGCCTGCTTCCCACTTTGTGGGTGTGGACGGGGTGCAGGCTTTCCTGCAGACCTATTCGCACGAGGTCTCTCTCACTGCAGACTCTGGGAAGAGTCACCTGATCTTCCCACAACCCAACTATGCGGACACGCTCATCAGCCAGGAGAGCTGTGGGAAAAGCGAGCCTCTCTTGATAGTTGAAGATTCAGTTACCAGTATAGGCAAAAGTAATCCTACAAGTAATCAGGTGAGATTTTTTTCCTGCCTTCCAATTATTAGTGTCTCTGCACAAGTCTGTTAAGTGGCTCTTTTGGTAAGCCTATTATGAAAACTGTTGCGGGGGGGCATATTCAGTTCATACAGACTTCAAGCAATACATGTGCGTTTGTGTATTTTACCTTTATTCAAACTACCACCATTTTTCAAAAAGGTTTTCTGAAAGTCATTTTTTTAGTTTGGTATATTTTCTTTTGAGTCCAAGGGTCCAGTGTTGCTATTACGGCTTGCTTTATAGTAAATTGAATTTTAGTAATATTTTTCTATCAGTGTCTGTGGCTATCAATGTAAACTGGTTATGATTTGCAAACACTTTATATTTATTTCCCTATTTCAACTTTGCATTGCCTCCATGATTATAATTATATTCTACCATTATTTGCTTTACTTCTAATGACCAGATTTGACCCTGTTGATTCAATAGCATATTCTCTCTAGCTCTTTTTCTTATCTATCTATATACACAGTCACACATATGTCCACATTTACACATGTAAACTTTTCTCTGAGCACAAAAAGAATTATATTTTCATTTTTGATGGCTGGTAATATGTTTAGATCCTGTTGATTATTTCAACTTTGTCTCATTAATTTATTCCACCAAAACAGACATGTTGACTGTCTTTTAATTACTAGACTTCCCTTGTGAGAGGAAATATAAAACACACTTTTTTCCTTAAGTTCTAGACATCTTTCTATTTCTACAGTTAGTGCATTAGATAGTTCTGAAGAAATAATTGAATTGTTGAACTGGTGCTATTTCCTTTTATTCTTTTACTTGTACTTTAGTGTGTGTTGAAGATTTTTTAAAGTGTAAAGACACAGGAATGCTTATTTTTGATCCACTGCCCCTCAGAAAGTTATTTTCAAATCTGTTCAACATGTCTACATTTTTCAGATTTATTCATATGGAATAGTTGTGAATATAAGAGATGGAGTGGGTATTCCTCTAGATTTTGTTGTTTGTTTTCAATATGCCAGCAAGTCATGGACTCCCTCTTTATTTCCTTCATAAACTCCCTTTGTATTATATCTAAGTATACTCAGTTCTTATATTTATAACCAACTTGTTATTGAAGCCCTAGGCAGCGGTTCTCAACCTGTGGGTCGCGACACCTTTGGGGGTCGAACGACCCTTTCACAGGGGTCATCTAAGACCATTGGGAAACACATATATAATTACATGTTGTTTTTGTGACTAATCACTATGCTTTAATTATGTTCAATTTATAACAATGAAAATACATCCTGCATATCAGATATTTACATTACGATTCATAACAGTAGCAAAATTACAGTTATGAAGTAGCAACGAAAATAATTTTATGGTTGGGGGTCACCACAACATGAGGAACTATATTAAAGGGTCATGGCATTAGGAAGGTTGAGAACCACTGCCCTAGGAGTTACCTACTAACACATGTGTTATCTGAAGCAAGGTCTAAGAAAGTCAAGGAGCGGAGACCTATCTAGGGTATTAGACCACAGGAATCATCTCCATAATCACTACGGCTCCTCATGCTCACACCACTACTTCTAGATATTCTTTCCAAATTACTAACATAATCATGTTCCCTTTCCAGTTTTCCTTTCTCCTTTAGGAGTTGGCCTTAGTAATTAACTCTACATAGAGTATCTAATGTTTGGGTGAAAAGAATTTCAACTGTAGGAAAGGAAAGTCTTACAACAAATGCCTAAATTTGTCTTGACGTCAAGAAAATGTTAGTGTGTTTTGAGCATCTAGGGATAGAATTATGCTTGTGGAATTCCAAACTGAGAAAAAAGATTTAACACATTTTACTTGAACTGAAATTATATGAATAAAAAGGATATGAGGTATTTTGCTGGAAGAGGGAGATGTTCCATATTTTTTTAAATGTAGTCTGGCCCTAGTCAGTGTGGCTCAGTTGGTTGGGCGTTGTCCCCTGCACCAAAATGTTGCAGATTCCATTCAGGTCTGGACACATGCCTGGGTTTCTGGCTCAATCCCCAGTGGGGGGCATTCAGGAGGGAGCTAATTTATGTTTCTCTTTCACATTGATGTTTCTCTCTTTTCCTCTCCCTCTCTTTCTAAAATCAATAAAAACATTTTAAAAAATGTAGTCTGAACTAGTTAGGAGCTGGCAACCAAGATCCTAGAAAATAGAAAAGGTTGGCTTTGAAACTTGAGATTAAGAAGATTATTTTGGCCCTAGCTGATTTGGGTCAATGGATAGAGCGTGGGTCTGTGGACTGAAGGGTCCCAGGTTCAATTCTGGCCAAGGGCACATGCCTGGGTTGCAGGCTCAATCCCCCGTAGGGGGCGTGCAGGAGGCAGCCAATCAATGATTCTCATCATTGATGTTTCTATCTCTCTCTCCCTCTCCCTTCCTCTCTAAAATCAATAAAATATATTTTTAAAAAAGAAGATTATTTTGACTCAGAGATAGTAATAAAGTGCAACATATGGCCCATTTAAATAAAAGGACAAATAAAACAGCCTCACATTTCATGACATTAAATTCCTATGGTAACCTACTAGGGTATTCTTTTATATTGTTTATGATGTAAGTGTGAAACACTTAATGATCCCTTTCATAAATCTCTTTTATAAGTAACAAGGAAGACTTGATGTCATTGGCCATCCTTATCCTGAGTACAACCTATATAGCTTTAAGCTCCCCCAGTTTCCTGATAAATAGAGGAGGGAAATTAATCTGTACATAAGATTGAATCTAATACTAGGTGTCATTTCATGGCTGTCAAAATTTCCCCATACCACTTGGTGGGGCTATTTTCTCACGTGGTCTTTGTTCTAAGTCTGGAGAGAAGACTTTGCTTTGTTCTTCCAATATCTGCACTGCCTCTGATTTGAAAAAGACAAACTTTTCTCAATGGTGGGTTTATGGCTCTTCTATAGGATCCCATCTCTAGGGAACTTTCTTTTGAAGTAAACACTGGAAAACAGACACATCCAAAACGCACTAATTGCCTCCTTTCCTAGACATCAGTCCAACATAGCTAGCTGTTGGAATACCGAATCCCATTATTTGCAAGGCTTCTGCCTGCAGTTTTCTAAGCAGACTCTGGGCGCCGCTGTTGGCCAACTGCTGCAAGAGCTGGAGTCCAGGATCCACCGGGTGTTTTCTGCGCAGTCACAAAAGCAAGTAGAAAGGCGAGGGGTCCGGACTCGGGCTCACTGCTCGGCAAATCTGATTCCGGAATACCGACTGGGATGCCTTCAAACTGGGAGCCTTGAGTTTTCTACGCAGTGGAAGTAGATATTTAAACACAATTTGTAAAGAAAGCATCTTCTCAATGCCAGAGGCTGCAGTAGGGCTCGGAAGGATGGGAACCAGGGCGAAGCAGAGGAGCAGGACCCCGCGGCGGTGGCAAGTACTCTTTCTCTTCCTGCTGCCTTTGTTCTGCGGGGCGCTCTCCGAGCAGATCCGCTACTCTATTCCGGAAGAAATGGCCAGGGGCTCTGTAGTGGGGAATCTCGCTAAGGACCTGGGGCTGCGGGTACGGGATTTATTGACCCGCAACCTCAGAGTTAGTGCAGAGAAACAATACTTTGCCATAAACACGGAGAATGGGAACTTACTTGCGAGTGACAGAATAGATCGGGAATCGCTCTGCGCTCAAAACCCTGTGTGTGTCGTGCCCTTAGAGATTGTAGCAGAGAACCCTCTAAATGTTTTTCACGTAAACGTGATGATAGAAGATATAAATGACAATCCACCTCATTTCCCCCAAAATAGCACTGTTTTACAAATCAATGAATTTGCAACTCCACGAGCTCGGTTTGAATTGGAATCTGCTATAGACGCAGATGTAGGGCCTCACTCTCTCCAGAGTTACCAACTCAGCTATAATGAGCACTTTTCTCTAATGGTAAAGGATAAAGCTGAAGGCAAGAATGCCCCGGAATTGGTGTTAGAAAGGCCCCTGGACCGGGAACAACAGAGCTCCCATCTCCTGGTCCTGACAGCGGTGGATGGAGGTGACCCGGTCAGAACCGGCACCACTCAAATTAGGATTGAGGTTACTGACGCCAACGATAACGCCCCGGTGTTCAGTCAGGATGTGTACAGAGTTAGCCTTCCAGAGAACTTGCCCCCAGGCACCTCTGTGCTAAAGGTGACAGCCACCGACCAGGATGAGGGCATCAATGCGGAGATCAGGTACTCCTTCAAAACACCAGGAGATGTTGGAAGTATGTTTACGCTAGACCATCAAAGTGGAGAAATTAAATCCAAAAACCCTATAGACTTCGAAATCAGTAGCAGTTATACCATAATCATGGAAGCCAAGGACGGCGGAGGCATGGCCACCAAATGTAAAATTATACTCGAAATTCTAGATGAGAATGACAACGCCCCAGAGGTGGTGTTCACTTCGGTGTCTAGTTCCATAACCGAGGATGCAGAGCCCGGGACGGTGATTGCTTTGTTCAAAACACACGATAAAGATTCCGGAGAAAACGGGGAGATCATATGCCTCATAAAAGAGGACGTTCCTTTTAGAATTCAATCTTCCGCCAATAACTACTACAAGCTGGTGACAGATGGGGCCCTGGACCGAGAACTGACCCCGGAGTACAATGTTACCATCACAGCCATCGACAGAGGCAAGCCACCCCTCTCCTCCAGCAGAAGCGTCACACTATACATCAGGGACGTCAACGACAACGCCCCGGTTTTCCAGCAGTCAGCCTACCTGGTCCACGTGCCAGAAAACAACCCGCCCGGGGCCTCCATCGCGCAGGTCAGCGCCTCCGACCCCGACCTGGGACCCAACGGCCAGGTGTCCTACTCCATCGTGGCCAGCGACCTGGAGCCACGGGCGCTGTCGTCCTACGTGTCCGTGAGCGCGCACAGCGGGGTGGTGTTCGCGCAGCGCGCCTTCGACCACGAGCAGCTGCGCGCCTTTGAGCTGACGCTGCAGGCCCG